GTGACACGGTGAGGATAGGGTGATCACACAGAGTGACACGGTGAGGACAAGGTGATCACACAGAGTGACACGGTGAGGATAGGGTGATCACACAGAGTGACACGGTGAGGATAGGGTGATCACACAGAGTGACACGGTGAGGATAGGGTGATCACACAGAGTGACACGGTGAGGATAGGGTGATCACACAGAGTGACACAGTGAGGATAAGGTCATCACACAGTGACACAGTGAGGACAGGGTGATCACACAGTGACACGGTGAGGGATAAGGTGATCACACAAAGGTGACTGCAGGATCTCAGCTCCACAACGCTCTAAAGCATTGAGCAAACTGAGTAACTACAATGGCTCTGGGAAAACATGTTGGTTTCCAGTGTTCTTCAAGGCTGAGCTTGTCTATGTCTGTGAGCCCACGGCTCCCACATGGGGCACGGTCACTGAGGGCATGCAGTGTCCTCGGTCAGTTCTGCCAGTCCCACATGCAGCCAGCCCGAGGGAGTTTACCTGCGGTAGAGAATGACAGCCCCGCCTTCCTCTGACTGAGCAGTCACTCCTATGTGAAGTTAGAACTCCTGAAGCTGTTTCTCTATTTCATTTCTCTTCCACTACAGCTCTTCCCAAACTCTACATACTAGCCAGGATTGGAACAGCCTGCAGGGGAGGCCTCCTCCCGCCCCTTCCTCTCCCCCTCCCTCTCCCCCTCCCTCTCTCCCCTCCCTCTCTCCCCTCCCTCTCCCCCTCCCTCTCCCTCTCTCTGTCCCTCCCTCTCCCCCTCCCTCTCTTCCCTCCCTCTCCCTCCTCTCTCCCTCCCCCTCCCTCTGTCCCTCCCTCTCCCCCTCCCTCTCTTCCCTCCCTCTCCCTCCCGTCCCTCCCTCCTCCCTCTCTCCCCCTCCCTCTCTCCCTTCCCCCTCTCTCCTTTCCCTTCCCTCTCACCTCTCACTCGGGGTCTGCTCCATCGCCCGCACGCCCTCCACCTTCCTTCCAGGTCCCTGTGACGCGGGCCGGGCGGCGTGGGCAAGGACAGGGCCCCTCGGCCCGCGATCCCCTTGGCCCTGTCCTAGGTGCGGTCTCCTCGCAACCACAGTCACCTGCAGAGGCTTCTGGGTAAGGGAGGGGGCTGCATTTCTGCCGGAGAGGCGCAGACGTGGAAGCTTCTAGATGCAGAAAAGGAGGAATGAGGGCCAGACCCTCATTTTCCCCAGGGAGGAATCCCGCAGTGCCCACGGCAGCCCGGGGGGAGGGGGAGGCGCTGTGCCCCGGGGAGGAGGAGCCCCGCAGCACCCGCAGTACCCGCGGCGGCCACGGGGGGCGTGCCGTGCCCCAGGAAGGTGGAACCCTGCAGCACCCGCAGTACCCGCGGCAGCCACGGGGGTGCGCTGTGCCCCACGGAGGAGCCCCGCAGCACCCGCAGTACCCACGGCAGCCACGGGGGGCGTGCTGTGCCCCAGGAAGGAGGAGCCCCGCAGCACCCGCAGCACCTGCAGTACCTGCGGCGGCCACAGGGGCGTGCTGTGCCCGGGGGGGGGGGGAGGAGCCCCGCAGCACCCGCAGTACCCGTGGCAGCCAGGGGGATGCGCTGTGCCCCAGGAAGGAGGAGCCCCGCAGCAGCAACCGCAGCACCTGCAGCACCCGCAGCACCCGCAGTACCCGCGGCGGCCACAGGGGCGTGCTGTGCCCCGGGGAGGAGGAGCCCTGCAGCTCCTGCATCACCTGCAGCGTCCCCAGCGGACCCGGGAGCTGGTTCTGCGCCCTAACGTAATGAAGGCTAGGTACAATGCCCGCACCCAGGCCCGGCGCTCTCCTCCGGCCCGGAGCGCGGGGCACAGACCCGCCAGGCCACCACGGAGTGAGCACCTCCACTCATGCAGCCTTGAACACACGGTGAACACCGGGAGCACACCTGCCCCGAGGGACGGCCCGCAGGGACAGCCACAGAACCTTCAGGAAAGAAATGAGGAAGGCCGCGGGACACATGGCCACTCTGCCAGAGACCCACGAGTGCGCCACCACACCCAACCACCCCAACGCCGTGGAGCCCGAAGAGCAGCGTCGAAACCGGGGAACTTTCAAGAGAAAAAAGCAATCGTGCCCCCAATCACATCCAGACTCCACACCTTACCACTGGGACACAGAAGCGAAGGCGGGCCGGTGCGGGCACCCAGACAGATGTGAAGGCAAGCAGAACAGACTAGAAGAATGCACAAGAATCCAACTGGCCCACAAGTGTACCAAGAAATAATGGTAAGCTTCCCTAGACATAAAGGCTAACCAACATAACATGGACGTTCTACTTCATTTTAATCTAAAGGACCACAAGAATAAATGTTAGTGTATAGCTACGGCAGAAGTATGGAGATGCCTTATTAAAAAAAATAAACAACTGAAAACAGAGGTACCTTATGATCCAGTGATACACAGTAGGGCAATGACCCTAAAGATTCCAGTTCAAAAAACAATAGACACTTGTACAGTCATGACTGCTACATTGTTCACCACAGCCAAGCCTGGCAACGGCAGAGATGCCATATAACTAATAAATGGATCAAAAATGGGGTGCATACATACACAGTTCGATTTTAATAATCCAACAGAAAGTAACATATGTCACTGGAAAACGTCTACTGATAAGAAAGCTGCACTCATAGAAACAAACAGTGCACGTGTTGTCTCCTATGTGGAAGTTAGACCTAAAGTTAAACAAACTTCAAAACACAGGGCCAGAGGCATATGTACAAAATCAAACCAACTAAAGATAATATATACAGAAGTGACAGCACATAGTGTAACCCCTTTCAACACTGAACAGGCAGTTCAAAAATATGAACACCAGAAAGCTGCAACCTGTCTTAACTGAGGAGGGAGACAGAAAAATCAAAAGAGGCGGTGAGCAAATACAATCATAATACTTAATGTACACACATATATATGTATACATGTAATGCATATATATATATATGTATATATATATAGTGAATAAGTGGGATAGGGAGAATGATGGAAGGAGTAATGTGATCAATATGCATTGTACACATAAGCTGACATAATAAATTCCAATCTTTTTGAACAACTATTTTAAGAAAACAGGAAGGAATGAATGAACAAAGGGGAATCAAACCATTTCCAGAACCAAAGAATTTTTTAAATCCTACCAGAATTTTTTACATAGAAAATACAGCACTGGGCTGGGAAGGTGGCTCAGTGGTAGAGCGCTTGATTGCATGCATGAGGCCCTGGGTTCAATTCCTCAGCACCACATAAGCAAAAAGAAAAAAGCCGGAAGTGGCGCTGTGGCTCAAGTGGTAGAGCGCTAGCCTTGAGCTGAAGAGCTGAGGAACAGCACCCAGGCCCAGAGTTCAGGCCCCACGACCGGACCCCCCAAAAAAAATTTTTTTAAGAAAGAAAGAAAATACAGCACCAAGAAGGAATTTTTATATTGAGAAGAGCCTACATTATTATATAAGTCAGAGAAATCAGTTATCAATGACCCATCACTTTATCTCACTCTCTGAGAAACAAGGAAAGAGCCAATTCTCTAAGCAATAAAGGGAAAGAAGCAGGAAAACAAGGGCAGAAATATATATTAAAAAAAAGAACAGTACACAAACAATATGAAGTATTAAAAAAAAAAACCTTAGCTAGGCCAAGCAAAAGTTCCCAAATAATATAGTTTGAGATGGAAGTATGGTCAGAACTAACACCAATGAAACTCACAGTTAGAGAACACTAAAAATGTTCATAATAATGAAATGGAAAATCTATTTGAAAGGGGTTACTTTCTAAACTCTATGACCTATCAATGCTGAACTAAAAAGGCTACAAACTACACAAATAGGTCTACACTAAGCAGTAAAATTGAAGTGATAATAAAGTCTATCAATAAGTAAAAAGCCAGAATGCAATTAATACACACTGCTGATTTCTACCAGACATACAAATTAAAGCTAAAACCAATCCTACTCCAGCTATTACAAAACACCTAATAGGAAAGACCACTGCCCAGTTCACTCACTCCAAGAGCCCAGTACAACTAAACCTAGCTAAGATGAAGCTATAATAAAAAACTATAGACTGGGGCTGGGAATATGGCTTAGTGGTAGAGTGCTTGCCTAGTATGCATGAAGCCTTGGGTTAGATTCCTCAATACAACACAAACAGAAGAAGCCAGAAGTGGCACTGTGGCTCAAGTGGTGGAGTGCTAGCCTTGAGCAAAAGCCTCTCAAGGACAGTGCCTACATCCTGAGTTAAAGCCCCAGGACTGGCACAAAAAAGTTTTTTTTTAGAACAATTTCTAAAGTTTTTTTTAGAACAATTTCTTTGATGTGAGAATTGTAAATAAAATGCTAGTCATCCAAATTTAGTAATAAATTAAAACATAACACACCATTATCAAGTTCATGTTAATATAGGCTTATCAATAAACACAATAAATCACATAAACAGAATAAATAACAAAAATAACAGAATCATCTCAACAATGCAGAAGAAGACAGAATATGTCATTTCATTATAATATCCCTGACCACTACTTCTCCAAAAAGTCCTGGGGGGGAGGTGTCCTTGTCAGGAAAGGAATACATCTGCCCAGTAGGAAGTGGAAGAAACACTCAGTTGCTGATGGTTCCTCCAATATTCTCTGTATTCCTGACTCTTCCATGAGTTCTCTAAGCTTCCCCTACCCCAAGGGAAACTTCCACCAGCTTTCTCTGAAAGCTCTCTGCTTCCGACAGGCATTAACGGGATCCAAAGAAAATGGATCTTGCCCCTCACTAGGTGATCATTGATAGAGAATTCTACATGGTTTGAGAAAAAAAAAAACCAAAAAACATGTTCACAAGCCCTGGTTTTCTCTATCATTTGAAGAGCATGCCATCATTTTTAAGTCTCAACTATAAAAACCCAATAAAAATGGTTTACAAATTCAATAGCAAGAGGTCTTTATTCATGCTAAAGTGCATCTTATACAAAGAGATTTCATATACCACACTGAGACTACCCCATCAGCGCCCAGGTCTCAATATGACCCAGCAGCAGCAGGCACAGAAAGGATGACCTTTGGGAGTTTTGAAGCAAGTCACCCTGGGGCTTGGCAGGACAGGTGTCCCGCCCATGCTAGTCATCCAGAACTGTGGACACGGCAGTCTCATTCCGCTCACTGCTCACAGATGCAGATGTCAGCTGGATGCTCTTATCTACAGTGGGCACTCTTCCCCCAACTGTCTCGGCTGTGTTCCTCTTCGGCCTCAGCAAAATGATGAAGCACTTGGGAGCAAATATACAGCCCAACAAACCGTAGCTGGATGCCAGGATGGCAAAGATCTCCACGGCCACTTTGAATTTGCCTTTGGTGCTCAAGTAGGCGGGCACAAAAGAGATCCAGATGATGAAGAAGGCCAGCATGCCAAAAGTGATGCATTTGCCTTCGTAATAATTATCTGGCAGCTGGCGAGCCACGAAGCTGCTCAGAAAGCACAGGAAGGCCAGCAAGACATCGACCCCAAAGACGACGCACAAAAACTCGATAGAACCCTCGTTGCACTCCAGAATGATCTTGATCACCTGAGACTCCATGTTCTTGTACACCCTCGGGGGGCGCATCAGCAAGTAGGCAATGCATATGCCAGTCTCCACCAGCACGGAGAGCAACACGATGAGCTTGCGAAACACGGGGCGCATGGAGAGGAACCGAGTTTTGGAGGCAGAAATTCTGTAGGCCAGGAAGAGTGAAATGGTCTTTCCCAGAATGGAGGAGAGGCAAAGAGTAAAGCTCAGGGCCAGAGTGACCTGGCGGGCCCTGCAGGACCAGGTGTGTGGCTTGCCGATGAAGATCAGAGAGGACAGCATGATGATGAGGAGCGCCACCTGGATGAGGAAGCTCAGCTCCCGGTCATTGGCCTGCACCAGGGGAGTGTTCCTGTAGAGCACATAGACCACAGTGACCGCCAGCGCCACCAGGGCCCCGAGGATGGACAGGATGACCAGGGTGAAGCCCAGGGCCTCGTCATAGGCCAGGAATTCCACCTCTTTGAGCACACACTTGCTCCTGTCTGCATTAGACCAGTAGTCCTCACCACACTGCGTGCACTCCCTCTCACCTGGTGAAGGAATGAGAGAGTTCACTGCAGGGAAATCCTGTGACTGTAAACAGCTCCGAGCATTCAAAGGCCTGGAGCAAGGATACAATAATTAATCTCATGTAGAATAAATGCATTTTCTCAAAACAGTGGTGATAAAATGGTGTAGAGTGCACAGATATTACAGATTGAGAAGCATTTTCTTCAACTTTTGAAATTTAGTGTTTCTTCTCAAATTTACCCTTTCCTGTGCTACTCTTTCCAGAACATTCTAGTTTCTCCTTTAGCTATCTACTGAGGTTGGACTTATGTATACTTATACTGTCCAAGACAGTCTGTAAATGAGAAAATTGAATATACTGAGGCAAAACCATCAGGAAGATTATTACAGAGTTAAGATGCATAGAACACTAGAGTCTTCCGATCAGTATCACTTGCTTGAAAGAATAAAGTTTGGGGCATTTATCTGGAAGGAGTTTTTAAGAGATATAGTGACATACAAGAGAAAGTGATTTGGGATGAATTTATGGAGATATGATAAATAAGGATTTCTAATGCTCTCTGAAAAGTTCAGGTAAAGATTAGAATTCCTTTCTAATGACTTCCAACTATTTGACCAGACTTCTTCAATGTAATTCACTGAGCCACATGATATTTAGAAAGTTCTTTAGGTTATATTGTGGGAATTTTTCTCCTTTTGGGGATAATTTTACATTATTTAAATTCTTTTTTATTATTTAAATTCTTTTACATGAAGTGTTTCTAAGGACCATTCCACAAAAGACAAAAACAGTTCTATGTCAAAATTAATATAAATCAGCTCCCACAGGCTCACAAGGCTAAAACACCAAATAAAAGTATAATTTTGCCTATAAGGAACATCACTTTGGCAGGCGGTAGGAATGGATTCACATAGTGGTGCTTACAGAATTCATATGTACTCAAGTTTTACCACTTTATGTCACTGATCGTAGGCATGAAATCCAGCCGTTCCCAAATGAAGATCGTTCAGTAAAATCTAGAACTCTAAGTCATCTTTGTTATTTTTCAAATAGGAACATAACTGATAATCAGTTTCAAAAACAAATAATTTCAGAAACTTTAATTATTCATAGATTAATTATAATTGTATTTTAAATATCATATGTTTTGTATTTCCCTTGTAAACTTCATTGTTATAGAACTTATCCCAACTGTAGATTTAGAACTAAAATCTAATTTATGTGTTTTTCTCATAATGTACAGAAGATCAAATAATTTGTTATTGGGTTTTTTCTTTTGCAGGGCTTGAACTCAGGGCCTGGGCGCTGTTCCTGAGCTCTTGCACAAGGCCAACACTCTTCCACTTTGAGCCACCGTGCCACTTTTGGTTTTTGAGTGATTAATTGGAGGTAAGAGTCTCATGGGGACTTTTCTGTCCATGCTGGCTTCCAACCAAGATCCTCAGATCTCAGCCTCCTGAGTAGCTAGGATTACAGGTATGAGCTACCATGCCCAGCTTTGTTTATTTTTTAAAATACATTTTTCATGCTCCTTTGCAAAGATTTCTACAAATCACTTTGTCAACACATGTTTAATTGAATTACACTGTAATAACAGCCATTTCTACCTGGTTTCTCTGACACATGTCCATCAGCACATGGGATGCAATCAAAGCAGCAGATCGGCTCCCCTTGACGAATCCCTTTCCGGGTCCCAGGAAGACACACATCGGTACACACTGAATGGGGAAGCTAGCAACAACAAATAGCAATAAGCATGGAATACAGTTCTCTACCATTGTGGGACTGAGAAAGTTCTTTGGATTTCCATGGAGGCTTCTAAAATGAATATAGCCCTGAAGCTAACAAATGGCCCTGATGAACCCCTCATTTCCAACACCAGTGCTATCTGTGTTATAGGATTTGTTTCCTCCTCTTGAAAAGGTACTGAGGATTGAGTCTTCAAAAGAAGTCAACCAAGTAAAGCCATCCCAACAGAGGCACAGATAATAACTGAGAAACACGAAATAATGGACTCCTTCCAAAGCTGCTACCTCTTCAGTGACTCCATCTGTGTAATACTGGAATGGCTGAAATGCTTGACAAGAATTCAGCAGTCAAACTTTAAAAATGACCAGTGACCTCAAACAGAATTCAAACAAACAAATTACAGACACAGTAATTAGGAATTCAGTTCCAGACCTGGATGAAAAAGTCATCAAGGGCTTTTCTTCTCCATCACTTTCCATGAATAAGAAGTCTACGTAAAATGAGATTATGTTCAGAAAAGACACAGAAGAACACTAAGGACCAAGAAAAACACAACAGCTAAAAACTACAGTGGAACAGAAAGATGACCAGGGAACAGTTTTGCCACTCAGGCCCTGGTCCTGCAGAAGGACAGGAAGTCGAAGCCTCCACAGGACAAGCCAAGTGGCCTTGGAGAGACTGGTAAGTCCTAGCTGTGGGACAAACCTACACTTCCCCAAGCATTGTAGAGTAGAGTAGAGTTTGAGGAAGGACAGTGAGCCCCAGCATGACAGGTTTTCATTGGACAAGAATATCTTTCGCTGCTGGTAGCTTAGAGAACTCTGGCAAGGTGACATCTTGAGATTTGATTGAGGTTCTGAGTGCAAGTGGCTCACATTTGTAATCTTAACTACCCAAGAAGCTGAGATGTGAGAATCCTGGTTCTAAACCAGATGAAGCAGACAAATCTGAGAGACTCTTATCACCACTGAAGTTGAAAAACATCACAGCCAGAGGTGTTGCTCAAGTGGTGGCATGGCAATCACTAACACATATGAGAAGTAAGGTTGTGGGGCTCTGAGCTCAATCCCAGCACACACAGATGTGAATAGATGCAGGTATTTTTGAAAACAAAGAGCCATCATAACCTAGTGGTCTTGGGAGATTCACTCCCAGTTCCTTGGAGGTCCTGGGAGGCAGTTGTGGAGAAGGAGAGGCTCTGTCATGGGCAAACAGAGAAGTTTAAGCAGCTACTGGTATGCTTAGGAAGCAAAAGGCACACTTGTTGGCAGCCCACCTCACCAATGAATTCAAGTTTTATCACCTGAGGATCACGTGACATATAAAAACAGCACCGAGCCCACCGCTGGCAGAATGTTCAAGTATCAACTAGCTGTGGGGGTTTCCAGACAGGCAGATCTTGAGCCGGAGCTACCTTTGAGACCTGAAAACTAACAAACAGTCAAAGCTCAGGAAGTCCTTCCTGGGACACCTGGTCTTGTCTGGAAGCAAGGCAGGTATGAAGCAGAAAAGCCTGAGATACAGGCAGAGAAGTTTAAGGAGCTGTTACAGAGAGCTCAGAAAGTGAAAGGCACAGAGGTCAGCAACCCCATCCTATCTGACAAGAACCAGGTTCATTGCCTGAGGATTATATCAGAAATAGAGCATCGATCCACGTACTCAGGTTCCCTGAGCTACCATTGGGCTGCGGGGTCTATTGCCACTAGGGCTTGAGAATGAGTTACCTTGGGGACTTGAAAATAGTAAATAACCATAGCTCAGGAGTTTGAGGACACAGCCAGAATACCTGGGATAGAGGTGGCCACAAGAGATGGCGGACCCATAGAGAAGTGAGAGCACCCCAGAACTTGGGTAGTGAGGGGCCTTGCGGCTGGTGACCCCACTCTCCCTGATTAATGCAAGTCCCAGTGCTTGAGGTTCACTGTGGAAACAGCACCAAGCTCACAGCTGTGGAGTGCTCTGGCCCCAGGAGCTGCCTTCTGGCAGTGCGGATTTGTCAACAGGTGTAGTTTGAGACAGAGCTATTCTGGGGACTAAAAAACAATGAATAATTGCAACTTATGGAGTCTTGGGACGCCAGGCCACAATGCCTGGGAGGAAGATGGCCACAGGAGATGGTAGTGGAGAGGGAAGGGTCTGACAAAGAAGTGGATGGTGGGCGTGGCAATCCTTTCCCCAGCTAGAGCCAGCCTCATGGTCTGAGAACCACAATGGAATCAGAGCACCAAGCCCAGGGCAGGTGGAGTGCAATGGCTCCCAGAATTGTCTGCTAGCCACAGGCATTTTTTTTGGGGGGCGGGGGGGGGGGGTCCGGTCGTGGAGTCGGAACTCTGGGCCTGAGCGCTGTCCCTCAGCTCTTCAGCTCAAGGCTAGCGCTCTACCACTTGAGCCACAGCACCACTTCCAGCTTTTTTCTTTTTGCTTATGTGGTGCTGAGGAATCGAACCCAGGGCCTCAGGCATGTAAGGCAAGCGCTCTACCACTGAGCCAACTTCCCAGCCCTAGCCACAGGCATTTTATGTCAAGCAGTGTTTGGGACTTGAAACCCAAGACACAACTGTGGCTTCAGTCTTGTGAGTGCTGGCCACAGGGTCAGGTAATAACCATGAGAGGTCATGGAAGGGGAGAAGGAGAGATGGAATCCACCCAGATTTGTAAGCATCAGAAAGCTCAGCCAGTGAGGTCTACGGTGATAGATGACTCTGCTCTTGCTGGCAAGTCTGAGTGTCTGAGGATCATGGCAGACACTGCACAAGCTCACAGCTAGCAAGGTGCTCAACAACCAGGAGCTAGCATTCTGCTGGCTATGGAGGCTTACTGTGAATAAGGGCTGAAATGCATGAGTACAGGCCCCAGAGATCTCATGCTATCTTTCAGACTTCCTCTTTCGTTGGAGTAGAAAATGAGGATGTGGGGAACGAGATCCTATACACTGTCAGCAGGAATGTACATTAGTGTATCCACTGTAAAATTCACTATGGAGGTTCCTTATAAAACGATGCTATTATCCTGCCATACCATTCCTGGAAAAATGTCTGAAGGAATGTTGTCAATATACCACTGAAACACCTATACACACATGTGTATACAGTACCATTCACAAGTAAACTACAGCATCTAATCTAGGTTCTCATCAGCCAATGGATGGAGAATATTACAACAGTAATGAAATTCAGAAGATCAGAGAGTATTTTAAAAATGTGTATGTAAATAAATTGGAAAATACAGAAGAAATTAAACTCATAAATACATATGACCAGCTGGGTGCTGGTGGCTCACACCTGTAATCCTAGCTACTCAGGAGGCTGAGATCTGAGGATTATGGTTCAAAGCCAGCCCAGACAGTAAAGACAATAAGACTCCCTTTTTAAAATACCAGTGACAAGTAGTCCCAGGAGGCATGGCTCCAATGGTAGAGCATCAGATGAACAAGCAAGCCAAGCAAACACCAGGCTCTAAATTCAAACCCTAGTACTATCTACCTACACACACACACACACACACACACACACACAAATCACTGGATTTTCTATATACATACAGTGAACATGTTGAGAAAAAAACAGAAAACAACCTTAATTCACAAGAGCAAAGTAAATAAAAAATAAAATATAAAGTACCTTGGAATAAATCTAGCTAAGGAAATAAAAGACCTCCACAATGAAAATGATAAAATTCTGAAGAAAGAGATTGAAGAAGATATAGAAGATGGAAAAACCTATTGTATTCATTAAGGCAGAATAAATATTACAAAAATTACCAGATTATACAGATATATATGGATTCAATGCAATTTGCATCGGAATTCCAATACTGTTACTTACAGAAATATAAAGATCAAACCAAAAATTTATATGGAAGCATGAAATATCCCCAATAGCCAAATAATCCTTAGCAAAAAAAGCAATGCTGAAGGTATTGCAATACTTGACTTAAAATTATACTACAGAGCATAATAATAAAAAACAGCATGGTATTTGGCACAGATATATAGAGAAATAGAAGAGAAGAACCAAGAAATAAAGCCCTGTAGCCAGAGCCATCTGATTACAGACAAAAGTGCCAAAATGTGTGCTAGAGAGAGGACAGCCCTTTCTATAGTGCTAGGAAAACAGGATATCTACATGTAAAAGCAAGTCAGAGCTCACTCGCTCGCTCGCTCGCTCGCTCTTTCTTTCTCTCTCTCTTTCTCTGTGGGCAAAAGTTAATGCCAAATATATCTAAGACTTCAATGTAAGTCCTTGAAACTTTGAAACTACTAGTTGGGAACAGAACATACTTCAAGATGTATAAGTAACAACTTTCTGAACTTACAACTCTAATAGGTTAGAAGTAAAAGCAGGAAATAACAAAACTAAATCACACTAAAAACTGTCCTGCATAGTAAAGAAACCGTTACTAGAATGAAGACACAGCATACAAAATGGGGGAAAAACCTTTTAACATCTACACATCTGACAAGGGATTCATATCCAGAATACATAAAGAACTCTGACCATGAAACACCAAAAGAACAAATAATCCAATGAGTAATTTACAAATTAAATAGCAAAGAATTTTCAAAACAAGAGGTACTGCTGGATGCTGGTGGCTCACACCTGTCATTCTAGCTACCCAGGAGGCTGAGATCTGAGGATCAAGATTCAAAGCCAGCCCAGGCAGGAAAGTCCATTCGACTCTTATTTCCAATAAACCACCAGAAAACGGAAGTGGTACTGTGGCTCAAGTGGTAGAGTGCTACCCTTGAGCTGAAGAGCTGAGGGATAGCACCCAGGCCCAGAGTTCAAGCCCCACAATCAATTTAAAAAAAAAAAAAAGAGGTATTATTGGTCAATAAATACATGACAAAATTATCGAGTCCCTTAAGCAAGGAAACGCTAATCAAAACTTCACTGAGACTCTATTTCGGCCCAGTCATCCATCAAGAAAATGGCAGCCATGAAGAAAACTAACAAAAGCAAATGTTGGACTGGATTGGGAAAAGGACTTTATACATTATAGGTAGAAATGTAAATTAGGGGCTGGGAAGGTGGCTCAGTGGTAGAGAGCTTGCCTTGCATGCATGAGGCCCTGGGTTCGATTCCTCAGTACCACATAAGCAAAAAAGAAAAAAGTCGGAAGTGGTGCTGTGGCTCAAGTGGTAGAGCGCTAGCCTTGAGCTGAAGAGCTGAGGGACAGCGCCCAGGCCCAGAGTTCAGGCCCCATGACCCCCCCCCAAAAAAAAAGAAATGTAAATTAATGCAGCCACCATGAAAATCAGCATGGAAGTTCTTTAGGATCTAAAAATAGAAACTGCTGCATGATCCTGCCATACCATTCCTGGGCATATATATCTATAGCAATTTAATTCAGCTTAAGAGTAAAGATAACTCATGCTGATGTTTACTACTGTATTATTCACAACAGCCAAGTCACAAAAACAGCCCAGATGCCTCTGATTCATTTGAATGAGAAAAGAAAATGTGGTATATATGTACAGTGGAGTCTGGTTTCAGCCTTTAAGAATGAAATTATGTCACTTGCTGGAGAATGGAGATAGAGATGTGAAATGTCACAGCCAGAAAGATAAATATGTAGAATCTAGACATCTAAAAAAGAAGACATGAAGATAAAGTGGGGGGGGCTATTTGTTGGGGGAAGAGGACCAAGGAGGGGAAAGTGGAAAAAGATGGATATGATAAAGGATATATATGCAATATGAACATATTGTAATAAACTCCATGTACAGAAATGTCACCAAGGAACTCTATTTGTTCTCATTACTGAAAGCTAATAAAAAACAAAAAGGAAAAAGCACAGTTACTGATAATTCAGACGTTCAAACAACTAACCTTGGATGATTCAGTGTTCCAAAATATTGTTGACTTCTTTGCAAAAACCATTTCAAATTTAGAGGTTCTGAAATTGTATTCTCCAATCTTAACAAAGTCAACTTCTCCATTATCATCTGTTTGCCAGTTTAGAATATCATAGTGCCCAGCATCCAAATCTCCATCATCATTAAGCTCTATCTTCTTTCCATCATGAGCTGTAAACTTAACTCTCCTCATATAGTAGGATAGCTAGAAAGCCAGGGGGGAGCGATTTGCAAAAAAATCACTTTTTAAGACAATAATCCTATAAATAAAACTCATATTTTAATTCACTGGATTATACATACTCTTCTCTTGTTATATATTTTCTATTGAATATAATAAACTCTAGCCACAATTTCCTAATTCAAATTTGAAGGATGGTTTACCAAGTTGAGATTGTGGATAAGAGTAACATAAATAAGAGTTACAAAGATGTAGTTCAAACAAAAGAAAGCAAAGTATCTCATTAAAATTTTCACATTTTTAGCACGACTATGTTTATTGCAGCATTATTTACTATAGCTAAGATATGGAACCAACCCAGATGCCCTTCAGTAGATGAATGGATCAAGAAAATGTGGTGTATATATATATATATATATATATATATATATATATATATATACACACAATGCAATTCTATGCCTCCATCAGAAAGAATGACATTGCCCCATTTGTTAGGAAATGGAAAGGCTTGGAAAAAATTATATTAAGTGAAGTAATCCAGGCCCAAAGAAACATAGGTCCTATGGTTTCCCTTATTTGCCATATCTAGTATATGTCTGAGTCAAGCAGAAAAGGTCAGATAAGGTGATGCTAGGGAAATGAATCCTAAGATATGTATTCAAATGTGTTTTTCTTTTATGTGATTGTTTCTAACACATTTATAAGATTATTTCTTTGTTGCTTTGTATGTCCCTCCCCCACAGTATAACCCCTGCTTTCACTGTATTTGATGTCGGTATAATTTGTGGAGGGGAAGGGGAAAAACAAATCGTTTAAATAGGGATATAAGTGAACCCATTGCAACAATGAGATGTACAAGTCGTTATGTCGAAAACGAACTTTACAACTTTGGTGGGGGGGAGGGGGGAGAGGGGCGCAGAGAGGATTGGGTGGGGGGGTTGGGGGGGAAGGATAGGAAGGGATGGGAAGGGGAAACAAAGGAAGAGGGTACAATGCTTGATAAGAAATGTACTCATTATCTTGCCCATGTAATTGTAACCCCTATGTACAGTATTTTCACAATTAAAAGTTTTTTTCACATTTTTGTATTATGAAAATATTATGTTAAAATATTTTAGACATGTTTAGTTCAAAAACTCAATTTTATTCCTTTTCTTTTAGTTTAGTCATTAGAAAGTTTTAATTTCTATGATAAATGAAAACACTATATTTATATTGGAATAACACTGGTTTTAAAATATGTGGAGCCAAATGTTTCCTGATTCTGTAGACCAAGGGAAATGAGAACATCTTGACTTCTCCTATTGCCAATACCAGCAAATCCCCCCTCACTATACCTCTCCTCTTCCTGGATATCAGGTGTGGAACGTAAAGATGAATTCAACGTGTTCCCAGGTTTTTGAAAACCTCACAGACTAGTAGGAAAGCTATACTATAAGTAACATTTGATATCATCTACATATCCACTGTGAAAAGAGTTGAGAAGGTGTAGGTGAAGACTGGATAACTGCCTCAGGAAAACTGGAAACTTTCTACTTTCCAGGAAGTGGCCATGTGAACTGGGTTTAAAAAGCATCAATAGAAATTCAATGGGCAAATATTTGTGAGAAGAAAGTTCTAGGCTAAGAAATGATTGTGCCTCTGCACCCTACACAGGGGAGGGAGGAAGAGGCCACGCACAGCCCAGGGCACAGCAGTGATGGACTGGCTCCACACTGCACAGCCACAGAATCCTCCGTGATCACAGAGCTCTAGGCCCTGCCTCGCCAGGCGACCCTGCCCAGGCAGCAACCTGTTTGTCTTGGTGAGGAGGGAGCACACCTTCTCAGGGAGAGATCCAGGCTCACATCCCACATGCTGGACCCAGGTCCCCTGTCAGGAGGGCCACACCGCTTAGCGGAAAGACAGCAGATGTGGAGTCCTGTTGGCTCTGGTAAATGGCATGTACTTAGTGAGCATTACACCATTCCTGGACCTGGAGGAGCTGACAGTTATTCCTCCCAGCCTTTGTCCTAGGGATGAAGGCAGAGCATATGGGAGCCTCTCAGGAGTGAATCACCAAGATCAGCACTCAGTCCCCATTCCATGTGGTCTTTGTGGTCTTTCATTAGCCTTCTCAATTCACAGGAAACCCATATCAGAGTTCACAACACAGTGGAAGGTTCAGTGCGTAGGTTTTGTTTTTTGTCTTTTCTTTTTCTTTCTTGTCTTCTGAAAAGTCTATCAGGGAACTGCTCAAAGGCTTCCACTCTCTGCTCCTTCCCTGGAACAAGCCTTCTACAATGCTATTTAGCATCACTACATGGTAGAGAAGAGTTCTTTAGCACCAGGCAGGGCAAAAGGAACTCAGAATGACAGGTACCTTCTGTTATCACAACTGTAATCCCAGCACTAAAAGACAGGTGCTGGTAGATGTTCAGTCTCTCACCATCCTGTGCTGCATGTGAAGTTCAAGACCTGCCTGGACAATTAAAGTAGGTCCCAGTCTCAAAAGAGAGGGAAAAAATAGGAATGTCCAAGTAAACCCTGAAAAAGAACTTTTTCCAAATATACACTTTCTGATGTATGGGATAGGCTAAAAAGAATTACAGTTCATATTTACTTTTAGACAAGTAGAAAAATAATCTTACTACGTTTGTAAATTTTCTTATATGTCTGCATCTCCTTTTAACCATTTTTTTCATGCTGGTATCGGGGCTTTAACTCAAGAGCCTGGGTGCTGTCCCTGAGATTTTGTGCTCAAGGCTGGCAGTCTACCACTTCAGATGTCACTCCACATTGACTTTTTGTTGGTTAATTGCAGATAAAAGCCTCATGGACTTTCCTGTCTGGGCTGACTTCGAACTATGATCTTAATCTTAGCCTCCTAAGTAGCTAGGCTTATGGGTGTGAGCCACCAACACCCTGCACTTTTCACATTTTTAATTTCCTGACCTGTAGGAGTGTGTCAGGGAGAAGGATCCGTATTGTGAACTAACCCTATCACCCCCAATCCAGCCCTAAGGCCTAACCCTGCAATCCTAGCAAATAATTGACACTCTCTGAACACATTTAAACTTGATACTTCACTTTTCAAAGAATAAGCTATGGCGGGTTACTTGCCATATAAAAAAATCCTCTAATATGGAAATAAGTTCTCAAAGGACATCTTTTACACTGAAGAGATCTCACTTGGTACCTAAAATGCAACTTAATTTGTCATTTTCTAGTCACGTCCATTACCTCAGTCCCAACGAACACACCTAGCAACCAGATCCAGCTTGGCTTCTAGACTTGATAGCTCAGCACTAGAAATCAGGCTTTCTGGAGGAAAGACTGTACCAAAGAGAGCAGAAACAGCTCAAAGTGGCTACCACTGGTCAACTATAAGAAGCAAAAAGCTAGTTTTAAAAATGATTGTCAGCTTGATGAAAATGAACTAAGCCACTCAAGGGCAGCAATGGGAGGGAGGGAAGGAGAGGGAAAGAGGGAAAAGCTAACACTAAGCAAAAAAAATAAATGTACATATCATCTAACATGGCAGAAATAGCTGTACTGTCGAATTCACAAACTCTATAGAACACAATAACGACAATCTGCCTTGTGAAGGATAAAATGTGTGTGTGACTTTATTTATCATTATCCTACAATACTGTGAAATTTGTGAAATTTATGTAATCACAATCTCAATAAAAATAATAAATAAAAGAAATGATAAGGCAAAGGATGAACAAATACAGCAATGATACTCATGAGACACTCTGTTGAAAATGAACTATAAACTATAAACTGTGGGGACAGGGCACTGGGTAGAAAAACTAGGAGAAAAGGAGGGAAGAGGTTGCCAGGCACTAGTGGCTCACACACATACACACACACACACACACACACACACACACACACACGTAGAATTGATTTGAAAATCAAAGTAAAAATGAAGTTGTGAGAATTGCCGCACTGTGGATCTGCAGAACTCTAAACAACTCCATGCTGCAGTGAGGGTGAGGCTAGGGAAGGGCAGCAGAGTGCCATACAGAGCGTCATGTGGATGACAGCAGGACCCGGGTGCTCATGTTCTCTTTAAAGACAGGAGGCAGGAATGGAGGGTATCAGTAGAGACGAGTTCTGGTCAGTAGTGATCTCAGGGACCACTCATACTGCTGTTCCCCAATGTGAGTGGTTCAACATCACCTCAGGGACACAGAATGTGGCTTTCTTGGAGATGCCAAGAAAGCCCTCAGTCTTCACTTAACCTCCCACTGCATAATGACTGCATCTTATGGGTCCCTTAAGATCAGAGAAGACCACAAAACTGAATTGTGGCTAATGGGATGCTGAGTACTGAATGCACTTTGATGAATGAGCCTTAAGTGGAGAGGCATACAGGTGTCTGTCCTTCCTAATTGTTGCTGGGTAAAATGATATTTAGGCCCAAAAACTAATCTTAGAATAAGTGTTAGAACTTCATATTGTAGATGGCAATGTGATGAGAGAGAAGAAATCTGGGTCCAAGGCAATGTCTGGAGAATTTCTATCATTCACAACAAACCTGGGAACTGGCAATGAGCATTTAGGCCACAAAATTAATTCATTATTTTAGCTGGCTATGTGATAAAGTGTTCTATTAAAGAGGAAGATCAATAGTTCAAACAATGTATACTTATACTTTTCAAACTATATCATGAGTTAAAACCACTTACCTGCCAGGGCTCAAATGCAGGTATGTAGGCACAGTGCCATCTTGGATTCTCTTTGTCACATCTGCTGAGCTCATCCAGGGCATAAGCCAGAGTATACACAGCTTGTCTGACGTTGTTTGTGATTCTCAGCTGAGACACATCCAGGTAGGTATTTTTAAGATCTTCCAGCCTCTCCTCTCCAGTACACAACCGATCAGATGTGGCCTCCAGTTGGTCCGCTTTCCCAGTCATATTCACTCGGTGGTCCAGATTGTAAGGAACACTGCTATTGGGCCAAGTACAGTTAAATGCTGTCTGCCAGAATTCGATGGTCAGGACATCATTTGGATCTTTGCTGGGATGCACGTCATAAAGAAATTCTTTCAACCCCGGGATGTCACTTCTTGGCACTGCAAACCCAATACTTCCACCAAAATAGGGGAAGTATTCAGGCTTTGCCAAGAGGGCCGAGGTGATCCATGCTTCGCTCGCTATCCAAGTCCTGTCCGTTATGTTGTGGTACACCATCTCCAGCACGAAGGGACTGAGGTCCAGATCAGAGGCATACAGCACGATGACTTTGGCAGAGGAGCCTTTAATAGCATTGACAGCCTTTTGCATTTTCTCATTGGAATAGACTTTGGGGATGGTTTCAGAGAATGCAACACAGAGGTTGGCACTCTCCACATTTTCCTTAAAAACTTTAACACCATATTTTCCATAATCATCATCAGATGCGATAGTGCCCACCCATACCCAGCCAAAATGCTGGATAAGTTTCACCATGGCCTGGGACTGGATATTATCACTAGGTACTATGCGAAAATAACTCGGAAACTGGTATTTGTCGCTAAGAACTGAGCTGGTAGAGGCATAACCCACCTATAATTGAAAGCAAAGCAAAGCAATTATTAGAAAGCACAAGAATTATACACAAGGACTTCCTACTCCCTTATCTACCCAGTTGGTAGGGCTATTATGGTGCAGTTTTCCCCTCTCTTCTGCCAATCCTCTCCCTACCCCACCAATAAAGGGCTTAACAGGAATAATTATTAAGGGCCCAGGTGGCTCACACCTGTAATTTTAACTACTTAGACTCCTCAGATCTGAGAATTGTGATGCAAAGACAGCTCAGGCAAGAAAGTCTGTGTGACTTTTATTTCCAGTTAAGCAGCAAAAAGGCCAGAAGTGGGGTTGTGGCTCAAATGGCAAAGTGAGCCTAAAAACTCAAGGACAGCATCCAAGCCCTAAGTGCAAGCTCCAGGATCAACACACACACACACACACACACACACACACACAAAGGTAGGGACATTCACACACACACACACACACAGGTAGGGACATTCAGTCCACTGGTTTTCAGATAAGGCCACAACTCTGAAACCATGTGACTTCTCTGAGTCAAGCCCTCCAGATTCTTCATCAGATCCAGCCTCTGCATAGATGACGTGACTCTCCATTCATTTAGGAGACCCCAACTCACTGTTTCTCTCTCCCTTCCTCCCTCTCATCTGACTGTCTCTCTTTCTACCTCCATTATATTCTTTCATTCTTCCTTTCTGCCCATTTCTCCCTGCAAGAATTTGAGTATACAGCTCTTAAGTCTTGGCTACAATCTTAGGTTTAAATCATGTTCTCAAACAAAGCTCTTAGAAGCACTCATTTTAGATTCAAGGTATCTAAACAAAGAGTGATTTTATATCCTCATGTGACCAGTGGTCCTAGTGTGTATTCTCCATCTTACAGAACTCAAGAATAGGGATCAGGTACCACGAGTTCCTAACCATTTATCACACTGCTGCTGTAGCTTACCCTCGACCTCACCAAATCTACCACAGAGAACATATGTCATCTTCTCCCTTGTCCCAGGTTGTTACTAACACACCACCTCCTTCTATATTGTAATTCCACAGCTTCTCAACTGTCATTCCTCTCCTGAACCCAAGGCTAGCCCTATGTTATCCTTCTTCTACCTCTTCGCTTATTCTTATTCCTTTGGGTGAAGATTACACTCTGGAACCACACTAGCAGAAAGTTCACAGTACTCATACATAGGAAAGGTCTTGAGAATCAACTTATCAGTATAAAATTTTAGGTAAGCCACTTAAACCTTCTAAACCTTGGATTTCCCAGAAGTAAATAGGGTCGTAATCTAGCTCTTCAAGTTGCTACATTTAATAAATGATATAACAAACATGGAAGTTTCTCTTTAAGATTCCTACAAGGAGAAAACCTATCTAGACGTTTCCAGCCAATGTGTGAACCAGTACTGATGTCTGATACAAGAGAGGGCTCACAGAATCAGGAGCGTGGCCAAGCTGCACAGGGAGTTACCCACCGTCAGCCAACACTTCCCCTCAGTTCTGCTTTCAGTATTTCCTGGCTTTCCTGCATTTGCATTTGAAGCTCTATAGGATATCCTGTGAAGGGCTGAGTGTTGAATCAGTGGCAGAACATTTGTCATGTATAAGGCCCTGAGTTTGATCCCTAGAAGCAAACCTGTGGACACACACATGCATACACACACACAATTACTTGCAAGTGATACTCTTATTGAGAAGTACAAATATGCTCAATCAACATTCAAACTAATGTCTTGCACCCCATTAAGTTTCATTTATATTTGCTTATTAATGCATTTTTCCAAATATCATCTATTCTTATATTGAAACTTATCATTCCCGCCCCCCCCTCTTTTTTTTTTGCCAGTTCTGGGGCTCAACCTCAGGGCCTGAGTTCTGTCCCTGAGCTTCTTTAATTCAAGGCTAGCATTCTACCACTTGAGCCACAATGCCACTTCCAGCTTTTTTTGTGTATGTGGTACTGAGGAATCGAACCCAGGGCTTCATAAATGCTAGGCAAGCACTCTACTGCTAAGCCATATCCCCAGCTTCCCATTTACTTTGTAATATTAGAATCTTAAAACTCTACCCATCTTGATAAATTTCCAGGCTCATTCCCATGTGACATTCCCATATGTGTAATTGGCACTGCTAAAGAAAAAAATCAATTTCTAGGCTAAGTACTGGTCAATTAACAGGTTATTTATCAATGACCAGAATCATGCTTCATAATGCTTGAGAGAAATGTATCTAGAGTTCAATGTACAGATCACTGAACCACCACCTCATTAAAGCACAGTCCTGTCTCATTAAGCAGTAAATCATCCTTACTGATGGGACACCTGAACTGGGCCCGCATCCTCACAGCACCCCTGCTTGCCTCTGTAACTTAGCCCAATCTCCCCTCAGCTCCTTGTTTGCTTCAAGTTCCACATGTACAGGTTCTGTTTGTATATGACAAAACCAGCACAAGACTCTGGGATACCTGAGGTACATAATATAGCCCTAGAAGTCTTGACGCAGCAATCGATAGGGCTGAGCCTCCTGATCCAACAATTCCCGCCAGATAGGAGCCGGTGCTGTTTCTCATGTTGGGTTTGTTTTCTTCCTGCCCTGTGAGGAACACCAAAGCTGACTCCATCGCTTTGGACACAGTGAAACAGGAATCAAAGATCTGATAGCCCAGAGTGTGCTGGGGCAAAATGTCCTTCCTCTCATTGATCTCCTGGATGGTGTGGATCATGGTCTTCATCCAGCGGAATCCTCGAAAGTTGAACCTGGAAGGGAAATCACTCTCGTAAGGCACATCAGTGGGCAGGGCTTGGAGGCCAGGGAGCTATGAATTGGGATTTTGCTAAATCTTCAGTTGGCACCTCAGTTGTCTGGGCTTGTTAAGTTTTAATCACAGATATTATGAAGTTGAAAAATTCAAGTCTGGGTCCTATTTGTTGTTGACTGGGTATGTTGGAACACAGATTGAAATAGAGTTGCTGGATATATTAGATGCAGATTTTTAGAGATTTTTCTTGTTCTGTGTATCTTTATTATGTGCTCGTCTTTTTGAATGCTAGTTTCTCTCCTGTCACAATTAAGTTTCCTAGTTAGGATTCTCTTCACAAAACCAGGTGCCCAGTCACCCCTCAATACCTGTTTTTCCTATTCATTATCTTATTTTCCTCTGAACATTAATTATAATTGTAAAATCTATGACAATTATTATGATCAGAGTACAGTAGGTTAGGTTATATACTATGTATCCAATTACATTTTGTGGGGTGAGTTTATTCTTAAGGCTGAGAAATATTTACTTAATGATGTATCCCTTTTAGATTCTCACAAATAAACAAAATGCTTCCTTCCCACTCTTCAGTCATTAAAAAGGGAGTTATATTTCTCCTGCAGCCTACTAAATTAAGCAAGCAAGGACCCTAAAATCATTTTCCTTCCATATCTTCTGTAGCTAGTACCTAATCCTATGTCTTCTGTGCAATATTTTTTTCCAGTCCTGAGACTTGAACACAGGGCCTGAGCACTGTTTCTGATCCTCTTTGTGATCAAGGCTAGATCTCTACCTCTTGAACCACAGTGCTACTTCCAGCTTTTTCTGAGTAGTTTTTTTTATCAGAGTCTCACTGACTTTTCTGCCTGGGCTGGCTTTAAACTGCTATCCTCAGATCTCATCTCCTGAGTAGCTAGGGTTACAGACATAAGCTACTGATGCCCTGCCAAAAAATATTTCTAAATTTTAAAATACATCACACCAAATGGCTCTTCTAGTACCCTGCAATTTTCCATCATGTCTCTTGTTTTCTGTTCAGCATTTCATTTAGAAAATACTTATTCAGTTAATCTGGAGCCAGATCTTATCTTGCAAAAGTAAATAGAATTGGCACAACACTGTTGAAGTAGTAACATGGAAAAATGGCCAAGCAATTACATTATGACATGATAAAACAGTGCTGGGTCGAGTGTTGGCTGTGAAGTTTAGAGAAGGGGACCCAGAATTGGAGAATGAACAATCAGGCAGAGGCTGAAGCATGGCCTGAGACTTTAGCATTCCAAGATATTTCATTTCCACATTTATTCCATGGGCAATATAAACCTTAAAAATATAGTAATAGCATTTTTAATATAAGATACTTCAAAAGCTAGAAAAACATTCACCTGCAGTGAATAACTTTTCCCCTGCAAACTTAGCTAAAAGGTATCTTCAATCTTATTACAATGATGAAAACCTGAGATACACTTACCTATCCAATGAAAGTTTATAATTCATATGGAGAAATGTCTATCATTAAAAAAACAATGACAATATGAAAATACCATTAAGTGAAACACTTAAGATGCAAAGTTGTTCCTACAATTTAAACTATATATAATCTTATGAACTTGTGAATAAAGAATACTGGAATTTTCTCAAAAAGGGCTGGAATTTCTCTTTTGTTCACTGACTCCATTACAATATTCAAAGTACAGTGTATACAGTGTATATCTTATTTTTCCTTAAAATTTTTCTCCAATCCTACCTTTGTGGAAAAAATCCACTTAGAAAAGATTTGTTACCCCTGTTCCTATTCCAATTCACTTCCTTCCTCAGCTCTGCACAGTTTTGAAATAAAGAGAAAAATCTCCCTCTTCTATGCATTTTAACTGATTGGCAGCTAGAAGTTCTATCTTATTACAATTGTGAATTTCTGAATAAACTTTCCCCAAATCCAACGTACACTTTGGAGGCAATAACAGGTACAGACTAAACCAGAATGAAATCACTATCAGATGAAGCAGTCTGGCTCCTCAGATCTCCTGAGGACTCTCCTACTGGAAAGATAAAGTCCCGGAAAAAAATACTAAGGTAGGAGAATGGAGAGCAAGCCCCAATATCAGAACCAAAACAAAACAAAACAAAAAAAAAAAACCAGGAAGATGTAGAAAATGAACAAGTTTGTGATGGTAATAATAATAATGGGTGATTGTTTTTGCTTTAATTCCTGATATTATTTTCAGATCCTAAGTGACTGAAAGGGATGCCCAGACATCTATCATAATCCATTCTTACTTTGCCTACAACAGATCACTAGCAAACCTGATTTTTGACCAGCGTGGATTCCCTTTCCTGACAGGACCCCCAGGTGGGCACCTCAGGGCAGAGGCCTTCCAGCAGCTGAAGGAATCTTGACATCAGCCTCAGGTCAGAAATTCACCAGTGCCACACACTGCACATTTAGTCTTCAGCCAAGTCACTGAGCGGCCACACTGCAGAGCTCTCAGTGCAGCTCAGAGCTGAATGCAAACACCAGTCAGGGAGAGTCTGCTTAACAGGGTCTGGGATGCAAAACCAGACTCAATCTCCTATCAAGTTCTCAGGTGAACTCTGATGCTGCTGCTGGCTGTGTAACCCCCTCTGAGGGGGTCCCCTACACCATAGGAAACTATTCTTCTGACACACAGAATTGGGAAATATCCACTGGACCCTGAGCAGTTCTGAGAATGTCCATCAGGGGAAGCTGAGGTTTGGGAACCTGAGTCCCTCTCCTGACTCGGGTAGAATCATGGCTCCAGTTGGAGACTCAGGCCCTGCCCACCACTCCTCACCCATACCTGCAATTGATGACAAGACTTGAACAGCTTACCCTTCACATTTGGCTGACACTGGCTCCAAAATAGACTCATTTTCTGGGATGGTCCTGGAGTGAATAGGAAACAGACCTCCAATAACAACGGAATGGTTTTTGGCATCCACATATCCATTCAAATCAAATTTGCCCAGCAACCTGCAGGTCACTTCCTCTTCTTCTTCTTGGCCTTTAGTGCCCAACTCGGCCCATACAAACAGCAGAACTCCCAGAACCAGATATGTCCTTCTGTTGGCCATCTCAGTGCCAGTGAGCAAGGCATGTGGTATTGAAATCGCAGGTGTTTTCATGAGGCTCCTGGGAGGAGCATCACTGTGTGCTCATCCCACTGAGCTAGCCTTGCTGTTACTTCCTACATAATTCTCATGTCTGCACTCACAGCATCTCAGACACTGACAATTTATGCATCCAGACGAGTAGAGTAATAGTAATTCTGAGAAGAGCTGACATTCCTGTCGTGATTAGCAATAATCCTCCATGAGCTTTTAATGGGATTCACTTCCTAAGCGTCACTCCAAGATGTTCCTTTCATACTGTCACCTCAACAACCATGTGGGAGCTTCTCTGTGAGGAAGAACTTTCTGCTTCTTGACAAAGTTTACGAGGTGACATCAGGCCTCATTTCTCTTCCAGTGACTAGAACGTGATGAAAGCAATTTGAGATGTGGAACAGAATACATCCACCATCTTGACTCTGTGCTCTGCAATATCTGAGTGGTAGTAAGTCACTTCATGTCTGCGCCTCAAAGTCCTCTCAGTGGATTTTTTAAAACTTAGAAAATATTTTGCAAAGCTCATTAAGGATTTCACTATATCCTTTTCTTCCACCTTATGGCCAGATGAGGTCCTGCCCTGGGCTCTCTGTATGACTCAGGATCCTATTCTTCATTTTCTCCAGAGAATTTCTTCCTCCTTTCCTATTTTTTCCCTTTTCCCATTTCTTCTTTACTTTCTTTCCCTTCCCTTTCCTTGTGCTGGCCATTGAACCCAAGGGCCTGTGTGTACCTGACAAGTGTCATGCAGCAAAACAAAACCCCAGCCCTTTCTCCTCTTTTTAAAAAAATTATCTTTATACATAAAGTTTCAATTTAACATGTCAGTTTATGAGCACAATGCATTTTGATCATCATTCCTTCCATCATTCTTCCCTATCTTTCCCAACCCCACCAACTCACTCTGAGTGGCCTTGCTCCTCAAACATTCCCAAATGTTTCTCCAAGTTATTTTACCTTGATTCCCAGTCTACCATTCTTCCCCTTCTCAACCTCCTTTATAATGAGAACATAAAGGTTGGTTATACTCAGGAGGCACTACTTCTGGGGTCATGAAGGGAGGTCTGTGGGGTTAATGTGAACAGGATTCTCTAGATCTTCTTAGTTGAGTCCGAGTGTTCCCCTCCTCAAACAGCTCCCATTACATAACTACATGAATGTATATGGGGATGGTTGGTGAAGGGAACTGATAAGAGGGAGAAAGAGTGATTAAGAGCTGAGTATAATTGAAATTCTTTGCAATTTATGGAAATAAGTAATGAACCCATTATAATAGCAAAAAAGGACATGGAAAATAATGAGGGTATTATCTAATGAGTACATTATATGCATATATGGAAAGCGCACAACAAACTCCTTTTGCATAATATATGCTAATTTTTAAAAAGTATATATATACTCATTTTGAGTATATACTCATAGAGCTTGTTCAGAGTAAAATACAGCAAAGAATCAGGAACATAAAGACTGTATAAACTCTTAAATCATGAGATTTTATTCTAAAATACATATTTCAAGGTGGGCAGTTTAGGTCCACATAAATTAACATGTACGATTATGGTTTTATAGTAGAAGGAAATGAAAGGCACAGTAAGTAATTTTTAAATCAACTAAGATCTAGTTATACAAAGGGTGAGAAATTTAAATCATGTCCTAGACAAACATTTGCTCACATTTATGAGGAACATAAGAGAACAAGGAAGCACCCAGAACTGTACTCTATAAATTTCTAAAATTATGAGTAACTTAAAGCTTTCTTGAATGTGTATATTTCCATTAGGATGAAAAGCCACTGCAAACCAGAAAATATGTTAAGAAAACCCCTATCAAATGTCTCATTCACCTCCATTTCCCTCCCCTGCCACAATATTGCTGACAAGACTTAAAGCCTGGTTCTCAGGACATTTGGCTCCAGAATGCTGTTTCCCTTCGTCCAAACACAAGGATACACTGGGTGGCCAACTGCTCCTCAAGAGCCTGACAACCTGCCCTGGAGTGGAAAGGGTCAGGGCCACCATGGCCTTGGTCAGGACCGGGGTGGGACAGATTCTCTCATTCTGCCTCCTTTCCTACCAGATGGCAGCTGTGTAATTCCCGTGGGCTGGGAAGGGCACCGGCAGCATGTTTACCCCAACTGATTTCCTGCATCCTCAGAGGACACGCAGGCTAGGGACCGTGAGAAATCATTAACACAAGTCATGTGAAGTTATACTAATAGTTCAAAACTAGTACTCCAGGGCTGGGAAGGTGGCTAAGTGGTAGAGTGCTTGCCTTGCATGCGTGAGGCCCTGGGTTCTATTCCTCAGCACCACATAAAATAGAAAAAAAGCCGCAAGTGGCCCTGTGGCTCAAGTGGTAGAGCTAGCCTTGAGCTGAAGAGCTCAGGGACAGCGCCCAGGCCCAGAGTTCAGGCCCCACAACTGACAAACAAACAAACAAATAAATAAATATTAAAAACAAAACTAGTACTCCACACAGCGGCATTGCTCTCACAGAACTCTTGCTCTAGGTTAGGAACTAGAATTCACATTGAGGCAACCAATGAAGCAGCATCTAGTACCAACTGCTTGTGATGCTCAAAGTCTCAGTAAAATTTTCCCATAGCCAAGTGATTCATCAAGCATAAAGGAAAGTATAGATGTTCAAAATATTTTATTTCCAGAACAGGTCCCGACCCTGGCCTGGGCCATTCTGCCACTGTTCAAGCTACAAATGATTATTACTCAGCTGCTGAGGGCACCCTGTAGCCCTACAGAGATCTCTTCATGGCATCACTGATGGATCCACTCAACTTCATTTTTTCCTAGTAGCACTTAGTGACCATTTTCTTGACCAGTGGAAAGAAAATCCTGGCTCCATACAGAACCTGCTACAGTGCAGATACCCAAGCCCACATCTGGTCTTAGTCTTGGGAGAGAAAAAACAGGTTTTATTCCTTAGGATGGTAAGCTCCAGCTCCAGCCACTTAGTGGCCTTCTTTTCACCTTTTGAGTCTTCAGGCTCCTGCAAAGCATGGCAACTTAGAGCAAGCAGCCTTTTCTCCGCTCTGAGTGTCCTCATAGCTAGACAGTATTCATTCTAGGTGAGGCTTTCCTAATATGATGACAGTTGAGTAACATCCTGCAGAGTTGGTGGTGCACATTTTGCTAACTAGCAAGGTGAGATGTTTTGTCCATAATATACTGACCCTGATTACTATTTCCATGACTCTTGACTTCAAGAAACCAGACATAAGCTAAAGACAACAGTGGATGTTGGTACAAATGGCCATGGTCATTTACACCGCACACACCATTTGCTGGCTCTGAGATAGTGAGTTGGGTGTTTCCATCTTTCTCCTCATTCTGTATTGTATACTTAAGATTCCCTGAGAGCCTGACTTGCATTTGCCTTTAAGCAGACACAGCTGAGCCCACAGGATTCTCAAAACATCTTATTAACAAAGGAAAAACACATTTAAAGGGTATTAAATGACTTCAAATAAAACTCAAGCCCAAAATCCACTGCAGGTGCACCTACTGCAACTCTGGGAAGTATGAACAGGGTAGCCGTCCTGAGGACAGGACCACCATCCTCTGGTCAGGGCAGACTGGGAGATGTCACATGCCTTTTATATTTCTCAGCATAATTTCCTCAGTGTTGAGACAGATGCGAAGATGATGTATCCTAGGGAATGCTCATGCTGTGCCAGTAGATGAATGGAAATACTTAGCTACTTCCTCACTTCCTACACATAACCGTCCTTTTAAAGACAGAAGAATATATTACCTAATTAGATATGCTCACATTGCTGTTTTTATTTAGGAAAGGTATAAATACCAGTTATACTAATGCACAGCTCCAATAATCAACAAATCCTTGCTTAGAAGAATTTTCCTGTATTTATATTATCGTTTACCTATATCTTAAAGAGACATAAAAAATAAAATAAAAATAAAATTCATTTTCATTAACGTACTGTTAAGAAATTCAAGTTATTGAGAGGCTTTGGAGGTAGTTAAGAAATAGGCTTACTTTCCTGGCAGTAAAGTCTGAGAGACTCTTTTTGTTGAGGTTTTGGGTTTAACTGTATTTTGCTTCATCTTTTCTTTTTTGGTACTGGGGATCAAACCCAGAGAGTTGCACCTGTTAGGCAAGCACTTTGCTGCTGAGCTGCATCCCAGCCCTCTGTGAGACTCTTAACCACCAAAAAACCAAAAGTAGAACTGTGGCTCAGGTTGGAAAGCACTAGCCTTGAATAAGAAAGCTCAGGGACAACATCCAGGCCCTGAGTTCAAGCCCACAGGACTGGCACAAAAAAAAAAAAGAGGCTTTGGGATTTTTAACACATCAGTGAAACTAATACCTGACCAGGTAAACCAGAACTGCAAGAGATTAAGTTTGTGCCACTTTATTCAGTATTGTACCAGAGATAATACAAAGCAACATGTTGGAAATAACCTAATATCCAATAAAAGAGGCTACTGAGAAATGATCAGGATTATGCAAAAACAAATGGTAGCTGGAAAAACCAAATGTCCAGTATAGAACTGTTCATAATGCTTCTTATAAGTTCCAAAAGATCGGGTGTGGCTTTTATATTTAAATATAAATATATATATATATATATACATACACACACACACACACACATACACACACATGAAAATGATCTGACAGGTTACCTAAGTCACTGGAGTAACTAATAGGTATTCTTTACTATGTTCTTTATATTTGTTTTGATTTTATTTGCAGTTGTACTGTTTTTATAATGAGAAAAGGCAATGAAAGAACCTAAGAAACCAAAGAAATAATATTATGCAGGAAAAAACTTGGAATTTTGCAGAGCTGGAGTGGTCTGTTTGGTTTCTTAAATTTCTAATTTATATGCACACAGCATTCCCAGTGGTATTTGTTCAGTAATATTTTCAAGAACTTTTGCATTTTTGTAAATTGGCTGCAAATATTTCTAATTCCTGGTTCAGTTT